GGGGGGGGGGGCAGCGGACACACAGAAAGGACAGTCGGCCGTGGCGAGGGGGCGGGGGACACGAAGGACGGGCGATGAGCAGCTCGGCCGGTGGCCAGCGCCGGCTGGGCGGAAGGGGGGTCGACCCGCGGGGCGGGGGGAAACACCGGTGACAGTGCGGGAGCGGCTGCGTCGGAGGGCGGGGGAGGGCCGCATGCCCGGCCGGGGCGACGGGGCAGGGCTCCTCGCGCGTGTGCGGTCACGATGCGATCTCGCAACAGGGGGCGCCGACCGAAAGATCAAGGCAGCGGCCAGGGGGGGGAGGGGGGGGGAGGGTTGCTGGCTACCATGGGGCCGCCTGCACCGCCCGGCCCCACGGCCGGCGGGCGTTGGGGGCACGCGCGGCGCGGCGTTTGCCCGGACCCGGGGAAAGGGGCGCCTTCCCCTGGCCGGAGGCCCGGACCCACGGGGCCGGGCATGCGGGTGCCGGCCTGCGGGGAGCATGCAGGACCAAGCACCTACCGGCCCGGCACCCTCAAAGGCGGCGGCCCTGGCAGCGGCCGGGGCTGGCGCGCCGTGGTCGAGAACGCCCCTCCCGGGGCCGCGAGCGTGGCTGGAATGGTGTCGGCCGCGAGTAATAACACTAAAAAGACCGGGCCACCTTCCCGTCTGGTTCTCGCCGGGCACCAGACGACCCGCACCGGAGGGGGGGGGGGGGGTCGCTCGCGCGCAGGACCGCGGGCGGCGACGCGCCCGCACAGACGTCCCCCCGGGAAGACAAAAACAAACAAACAACAACCCCTTTCGCCGGCCGCCGCCGCCGCCGCCGGGCCGGGTCTCCGAACGCCCGGCGGGCCTCGGCCTGTGTGCCAACGGTCGCGCCTCTGTGCGAGTTGGGACTTTGCATGGACCCGGATGATGTGGCCAATATGAAGGCGGCCGATAGTTGCGTTTCTGCCGCCCGCGCCGCCCGGAAGGGCATGTCCGTGGCATTCACCAGGCGGCCGGGTTCCCGGGTGGATGGCCGCCCGGGCGGCGTCCGGTGCCCGGCCAGGGGGGCGGGGGGGGCCTTTTCTACCCCTGGCGCTGGGGCCTTTTTTTATGGGCCGCCTTGCGGCCCTCCCCCGGGAGGAATGTGCGGCAGGGCAGGCCGGCGGCCGCCCCGGCCGTGGGGGGGCGCGCCCGGGCTGGCGAGCGCGCCCCGGGGCGGAGGGAGGCCGGTGCCGGGAGGGG